GAAAAAAAAGTTTGTCAAATGATTTATTAAAACAAACCTTTTTTTTTATCATATTCTTTTGTATCTGATTGTCTTGTTCCATAAAAGTTTAAAACAATTACATTTGTGTTGGTTAGTATAATGAATTTTGACAAATCAATTGGACTCTAAAATGTTAATTTATTTATATTTGTTTATCTAAACAACATATTTCATCATGTTAAATTCACTAAAATGAATTAGTTTCCAAAAAATTCTCATCTAAATATAAGATAAAAGGAATTATTCCAATATTGATTTTTGATTAAAAATAACTTATAGTCAATATATGATAATTGAACTTAGTTTAGCCTTGAAATCTAATATTTGGGAGAAAAAGTTCCAAATCATCATCTGCATCTTATTACGATGTTTTATTTTTATTTTTAATACAGAGTCGTGACGATGTTGATTAATAATTATAGTTTAATTAACCTTTTGATGTTTGGCCTTTTTTTCGTTTAATTTAAAAGTCACTATAAAATTAAAATTTAAATATATAAAATATTTTTATATATAAAATTAGAATTATTTGATAATTTTAAATTTATTAAAATTAAACGTAAAATATATGATTCCAATAAAACGTAGTATACAAATATTTTTCAAAAATATTTATAACCTATCAAATAATTTTTTTTTATTTCTATAAATTATGATATCGAAATATATGATTGTCAAATTCATGATTTTTAAATATAAAAAAAAAATTCCACCAAACACATTCTATCGAATGAATAAAGATACTGTGAAATCTTTATTATAGTAAAGCAGTTTTCCCTACTTGAAAGTTTCGTTCTCACTTCTCATGAAAATAATTTTGTTAAAAGTATATGTAAAAATATAATAGAAAAAATGTTTAATTGTGTTTTTGATCCCTTAAATATTGTAATTGTGTAATTTTGATCCTCAAGATTTTAATTGAGTAATTTTAATCTTTAAAAGATTGTAATTGTGTGATTTTAGTCCCTTAATTTTTAATTGAACAGTTTTAGTTCCTCAACTATTATAATTGTACGATTTTAGTCTTTTTCATTAAAAATTTGGTAATTTAAAAAAAATATATATATATAATGTTTTAAAATTATACAATTGCTTACTTGTTTAAGTTAACATATATTATAAATTTTGTTAATATATCAAATGATATATATTTATTATTACTAAATAAATAAAATTTATATATTATTAATATTTTAATATTACTGATAAACTAATATCAATAATATTTTTAGTATATTTATAAATAAACTAATAATTTG